CGTGCACCCGTCATCTCAGCTACTTGGGGGACTTAGGCCTGAGTCCAGGAGTCGAGGCTAGAGTGAACCGTGGTAGAGCCATTGAACTCCAGCCTGGGCAACAGAGGGACAACGTGACTTAAAAAAAAAAGAAAAAAAACAGCTGGCTGACATAGGTAAAATTCAGAGTAGACAAAATTAAAGCCTATTCCTTCTCAATATCTGACAAATTACACTTCCTAGAAGAAATGTCAAGTGGTAAAATTAACACCTAAGAACCACCTGTTAGAATTGCCTTCTTCTACTGCAATGGGATTATGACATCAGACATAAAGCAGCCAATCATCCTTTCCTCCCCTCCCGCCTCCCCCAGCCTCTCCCCTTCCTTCACCACTTGCTTTTTCCTTCTTTCTCAAATGTCAATTGCTATGCTGAGGATATGAAGCTAAATATGCCCCTCACCCTTTCTTCAAGCTCACAAGCTCACATAGAAAGCAAATACGTGTAGTGTGATAATTACAAGAATATTAACATGTCCAAAAGTTAAAGATAAAGCATAAAGAAGACAGTGATGAGGTCTGGGGGTTTGGAGGAGTAAGGAGAAATTTGTTAGCTTGAGCTGGGTTTAAATGTATTAAAAGTGCAACTGTAGAAAAATTCCTTGCTTCCAACTAGAGGTTAGAAATGGTAGTTATGCCGGGTGCAGTGCTCATGCCTGCAATCCCAGCACTTTGGGAATCTGAGGCAGGAGGATCACTTGAGCCCAGGAGTTGGAGACCAGACTGGGCAACATGGTGAGACCTCGCCTCTACAGAAAATAAAAAAATTAGCAGGTGTGGTGACATATGCCCATAGTCCTGGCTACTCAGAAGACAGACTGAAGGATTGCCTGAGCCCAGGAGGTTGAGGTTGCAGTGAGCTGTGATTGCACCACTGCATGCCAGGCTAGGCAACAGAGTGAGACCCTAACTCAGAAGAAAGGAAAGAGAAAGAGAAAGAGAGAGAGAGAGAATGAAGGAAGGAAAGAGAGGAAAGAAAGGAAAAAGAGGAAGAAAGAAAGAAAATAAATAAATAAATAAATAAATAGTTATTCTAGCAAGCTTGCAGAATAAATTGTACTTAAAAAAAAGTGCTCAACTTTCAGTTACTGGCTAATGCTCTCAGAACTAAGGCTTGACCCAAACTGAACCGTGAACCAAAATTGAAACAAAGCAGGATTTGCTTGACCATGAACGTACTCAAGATTAAAGACTGTCAGAACTTCAGGGAATTGTTAAGTTCATCTAGTTCATGTTTTTCATTTTATAGATGAAAATAGCATGGCTCAGAGTGATTAAAGTCATGTAAAGTCTTGAGAATTCACTAATTGGCCAAGGATGAGATAAATCAACAATGTCCATGTTCCAAGTTTTTTTTTTTTTAACTTTTCCAAAAACTGCCTAGTTGGTGATGTCTTCAAATAATCAAATTAGGACAAAATTCAAGCATCAAAAGATTCCCCAAATAGAATATTTACTTATCTGATATTTATTTGATGTGTAAAAAAAAAAAGCAGGCTTATCAACTTTTAAAAAAGAATCTCGCTGGGCACACAGCTCACACCTGTAATCCAGCACTGTGGGAAGCTGAGGAGAGAAGATTGCTTGAGATCAGGCGTACAAGACCAGCCTGAGCAACATAGTGAGACATCTCCGCCAAAAATAAAAAATCAAGTACATTTGGGCATATTTGCTTTTTTTTTTTTTTGAGTTGTAATCTCACTCTGTCACCCAGACTGGAGGGCAGGGGCTGGTCCCGGCCACCGCAGCCTCGACCTACTGGGCTCCGGTGATCCTTCCGCCTCAGCCTTCCAAGTAGCTGGAACTACAGGCGCGCTACCATGCCCAGCAAATTTTTTGATTTATTGTAGAGATGAGGTCTCGCCAAGTTGCCCAGGTGGGTCTCGAACCCACGGGCTCGGCAATTCATTCACCTCAGCCTCCCAAGGCATGGATTACAGGCTGAGCCACCGAGCCCGGCTATATTTGCTTTTTCCTTAAAAAAATATTTCTACGCTAACACTGATATTTTCTTCAAGCCTTTTACTATAAGGCATCTCAGAGACTTTTGGGAGGAAGTAGTGGGGGAAGAGGGGCAGTGTTTAGAAAATAAAAATGTGAAACATTTCCTTTGTTTCGAGCCGCTGAGTGGACACTCGTGCCTCCTTGTTATCGATACACACGTCTGCTATGCACATGGAACCTCCTGAGTTCTGGAGAAACTGAGATATGCAGAAAGCAACCACAGGCCCATGGGACTGGGATCCAGTGTGGGGTTGCGGTAGCCACACAGACAATGTTAAGTGGCACATTCCAAGGTGACTCAGAGGTCCGTTCTATTCTCAGACGCTAGGTCCAGTGAGTTTTTGTTTTGCTTTGTTTTTGAGCTGGAGTCTCACTTTGTTACACAGGCTGGAGTCCAGGGGAATGTTCACGACCACTGTAGCCTTGACCTGCTGGGCTCAGGCGATCCTTCCACCTCAGTCTTCCAAGGAGCTGGAACTACAGGTGCGTGCCACCATGCTAGGTCCAATGATTAAATGAGCAACGTGGAAATTGAGTCAAGGCATGGCAAGCTGTTTTGAGTAGCTGCTGAAATAGTGATATTTAGGTGAACCTTTTTTTCTGAGGATGGTAAAGGTTTGGGGTATTGCTTTTGGTAACTTTTTTCCTAAATAGTTTTTAAATAGAAGCAATCCATGTTTGTGGCAGAAAGTTGGAAAATCAGAAAAGTATAAAGGAACAATTAAAATCTTACCTTGGGTTCACACTGTATAATTTAGCACAATATATATAATTCAGTGTCCTGCTGTTTTTTGCTTAACTTTATATAGTGAAAATTCTTGGATACTAGATACTCTTCAAGAACAAGATTTTTATTGTGCAACATTTCATTGAATGATTTCTTTAACCATTACTCTATGGTTGGCAATTTAGATGGTTTCCAACCTTGTTTTCTGTATTAAGTACAATACTGCGAGCTTCATTCCTGATATAGTGATCATGGCATTTGTAGAGCACTTATGATGGCATATGCCAAGCACTGTGCTAAAAACACTTTGCATGAATTATTAAGTCTCATAATAAACCTATAAGGAAGAATTATTATCCTTCTTTGACAGATGATGAAACCAAGGATTAGAGACTGATTAAGGTGCTCACATTAAGAAAGGGGATTTCACCTCTGATTTGTCTGACATAAACAAATGTTCCTATTTGTTCCAATTTGTTTTTAATGACTAAATAAATAGGATTGTTCGAAGATTCCAACTGCCTGTTGAAATATGCAGTTATGCCCGGACTCGGTGGTTCAGCCTGTAATCCTAGCACTTTGGGAGGCCCAGGTGAGTGGATTGCCTGAGCCTGTGGGTTCGAGACCAACCCGGGCAACTTGGTGAGACCTCGTCTCTACAATAAATAAAAAATTAGCTGGGCGTGGTAGTGCACGCCTGTAGTTCTTACTACTTGGAAGGCTGAAGCGGAAGGATCACTGGAGCCCAGCAGGTCGCTGTTGGGATGGCCGTGAGCATGCGTGTCATTGCACTCCAGCCTGGGCGAAGGAGTGAGACTCCAACTCGAGAGAAAGAAAGAGAGAGAGAGAGAGAGAGAGAGAGAGAGAGAAAGAAAGATGCAATTATTAGGTCCAATTCCCTTCCTTCTTTCTCATCTCTGTCTATCATCTCTATGTATCTATTTATCTATGTTTTTTTTTCAGCTGGAGTCTCACTTTGTCACCCAGGCTGGAGCTCAGTGGCATGATCACAGCTCATTGCAGCCTACCTCCTGGGCTCAAGATTCTTCTGCCTCAGTCTCCAAGTAGCTGGGACTATAGGCATGTGCTCAGCTAATTTCTTATCTACATTTTTAAAAGAAGAAAATGTCTAATGAATATTTCGTTATTTTTGAGGAGTATTTTTTAACACTGGTAACTATTATTCTACTCTGATAAAATAACACGTCGTACCCTTATAGTTCTTATTGTATTGTCTACAGAATATTGTAGAAACACAGGCTCCAGAAATGAGCCTTTGTCACTAGGCAGAACCACTGTAATTATGAAAAATATAATTAAGAGGTGGTGCAAATTTCGAATTTACAGTACTTGGATAAACACAACATATCCTAGATTTCCAAACGCCCAGAGAAACGAACCTAGCTCTCTGAGGCTCTGCTCTGCCACCCACTGCCTACATGGCAATGGTTTACATAAAGCAAGGACTTGCCTCTGAAGCAGAATGAGGTTTCCCATGTAGCTCAACGATCACGTGGGCGGATGGCACACTTTGGAAACAGCACCAAACCCGGTCTGAACGTCCATAAGGTCCCTGCTATTCCGAATTCAGGGAGGCTTTCCAGAGCTCAGCAACTCTGAGAAATATACTATAATGGCTACGGCCACCTCGCACCCAGGCCCGGGGGATTCGCTCTGTGAACATCTGGAGCTGAAGTCTAGTGACTCGGCACGCTCCCCGCGGGTCCAGGGACTAAGCAAAAGACGGACGTGGGAGAGTGGGGGCTTCGGCTGCAGAGTGTCACAGCTCAGCTCCGGGCGCCGCAAGCCAGCAGGGAGGGGAGGAGGAGCGGGAATCCAGGAATGGCCCGGGCGGGAGGGCACAGGGAGGGGCGCGGGGGAGGGAAGACGCGGCGGGGCGGGGCCAGCGTTGCCATGACGACGGCC